TCTGCCCTCCTGACCTGAAAGTGAACTCTGGTGGTGAGCTGGAGGTCAAACAGGACATGTATGACTGTCCCAGCGACCAGCATTCACTCTCATAATTCAGCAAAGACCTAACAACTGAAGCTGTAGAATCACATATGTCTTTGAGTCCCAACTATACAGGCCTTAATTACTCAGTCTAGCCAATCTAACAGGAAGCCATACATTATCTGAATTATCCAGTATCTCTCATCATCTGTTTACACACGCACACACACTGGTCTCATACTGTACATCTGTCCGCAAAGCACTCCCGGGCATCAAATCCAAATGCACACGCTTGCGCGTGCGCATACACACAAAACAGCTATCTTTCATCAGTGCTTGTGTATATCTGAGATCTGTATCGGTGCCCCTGATCTCCAGTCATCACTGTGGCTTCTTAATTACACCCTTCATTAACTCCCATCAGCTCTGTGCATGCGTGTAACTGCCTATAGGTGTGTTTGTGAGAAAGAGAGAAGAGGAAAGAAACAATGATTGTCAGTATGTGTGTGAACATACGAGAGAGCAAAAAACTGTAAAAACTAGAACATGACAAATGGGAGTGGGGATCGAAGCTCCAAACCAATTTCTAAAACTGCCTTTTTCTCAGCCAATGTTCCTTTTAAACCCTTGGGGAAGGGAGACCACCGCTACAATCTGCCTCTCACTTTCTATTTGCACGAAACAGTCAGTTAAGGGTGAGAGAAAGAGAAAGAGAGACAGAGGAAAAAGCCGCTCGCTGACTGGCTTAGCTGACTGATGACTGGCACCATTTTTTGTCCTTCTTTTGCCTCCTGCGTTCCCCTCTTCTCTTCTAGCCATCATAAGCCACTAGTACTGGAACACCAGAAGCAATTCATTGATGAAAAGGGAAAAGGACGAGACAGAAAAGGATGAGAATAGATTAGAGGGGGAGTGACAGTGATTTAAGTGCAGACTCACATCTGCAAAAAAGGCGGATGAGCGATGTAAAGAGAAGGCAAGAATTGAAGACACCTGGTTCTCGTCAGAGCACCCTCCACCCAGCCACACACACACACTTTGAGGTTTGTTACGCTTTATCCTGCTTACATTTCTCCTCTGCTATGCATCATTTCACATCTACAGCCATGCCCAGCTTCTCAACTAAGTGCCACACACTCTTCACTGCACTCTCACTTTTCCACCTCTCCTTCCTTTTGACCAATAGCTCAGCTCTTTATTTTCCCTTCTCCCCTCCCCTCCTCCCTGCTCTATCCCCTGGATGATGGGGCAGAACTGGTCTTCGCCCCTTCTTCCCTTTCTCCTGCTCTGTTCTTTCTGGGGAGGCAGACAGGCCACATTCCACACGGAGGCCCAGGCGCCCTTTTCTGACACGTCTCAACGTTACACTCCTCCCTTATCCCTCTATTCCTGCTCTCCAGCCCTCCAAGTCCCCCCACCACCACCACCAATGTGCTGCCTCTTTGCCCCTCCTTTTACCTCTGTTTCCTCTGGCTTCATGTCCCATCTCCCCAATCCCTCCTCTCCACTCACCCACTTCCCTATTCTGCCTGCTGACCTTGTAGCATCTACCTGTGACCCTCTCTTATCTGTTTATCTATCTATGAGACAAACAAAAAGAATGAAACAGAAGGACAGATACAAAGAGAGTGTCGGTAAACACTGAAAGAAAGAGAGACAGAAGACAGAGAGGCCAGTGGAGGGGTTTGATGGGCTGGAGATGGCTGTGATTTCTCTCAGGTTCCCAACGGGGCCAAGTCAAAAAAAAAAAAAGCTTTGTGTTCTGACAACACCATGCTGTCAGGAGTTTTGTGAGTGTGTATGTGTGTCCTTTCTGCTCCAGTGCTCACGGGCATGGTGTTTAAGCACCAACACCAGTCTGCACTACACCTTCAGGTGAGAGACTCAACCGTGGCAGAGAAAGGAACAAGAAGAAGAAGAAGTGAAGAAGAAAGAGGAGGAGGAGGTATGTCTGAGACTTTCAGTTTGAAGCAATATATACAGACAGTGTTGTCAGGTAACTGGTGTCAGGATAGGGGCTATATGTATCAGACAATATTGATTTTATGAGTTGTGGGCACAAGCTAAAAATAAAGCCTCTATGATCACCCAGCACTACCACATTAATACTGTTAAATTAAGAAGTGTGATCCTTATACACAGAGAAAGTATTTGCAAATTTCCAAAAAGGAGATTTAAGACCTTCATGCTAAAAAGCTACAATTCTACCTGGCATATAATTTGTCACATTTAGAGCTTATGTTAACTACATTACATGCCTATAATGTAGCAGGATCATCATTTATTGATCCTCAGTGTAAAATTCATAAGCTACCCAGCAATAATTCAAATTATACTGTATTTCGTTTCAACATCTTTCTGAAAAGCAACTAGTAACTAAAGTTGTCAAATAAATGTAGTGGAGTAAAACGTTCAGTATTTGCCTCTGAAATGTGGTAAAGTCAAAGTATAAAATAGCAGAAAATGAAAATACTCAAGTAAAGTGAAAATGCCTCAAAATTGCACTTAGGTACAGTAAATGTACTTAGTTATTTTCCACCACTGAAGAGAAATAGGAAATAAAGTGCTAGGTGACAACTTGTATTTATGAGGCAGATGCAATCTATGGTGTGATCTAGAACTAATCTGTATTTAATAATTTAAAATTTATGCTTAACATAGTTGCATGGTTTTTCAGGAAACATTTTGGACTTTTAAATGGTAAGAATAGGAAAGAACATGTTTGGCTAGAGGATAATAACAGAGGTGAATGGGGAGAAAAATCAGCTGGTTGTCATATCAGAGCAGCCATTCAGCATTGCTCACTGGCACAGAACCCCCATCTCGTCCAGGGGGTGAGGGAGGGTGAGGGAGAGGGGTGGAGGCATTTGGCCTGCCTCCATTTCTATATCTGTCTGCGTGTGTGTTAGTTGGGTGAACCAGAGGGTATCATGATGCTATTGATTCTTACAGACTACCTTGATTCATCTATCAGGAAAAGAAAAATATGTTGATGAAATGCTAAATGCAGCAATCAAGTCCATTCTTTGTACAAAAAACAAGGTGCAAAATGTTGACACATATGGAAAATATAACCCGCGAGTAAACACTCAAACGTACAGTACAACAGCCATCAACTTGCAAAAGGTTGAACAGTTCCAGAGTTAAAGAAAAATGCCCACAGTGGAGGAAAGACCCACCTCTGCCTCATGACAAGTCGAATGTTTCCAATCTGTGCACAATGAGATTAAACAGAATTCGCTAAATTGAGAATTACTGTGATAAATTACTGTGTATTTACTGCTAAATGAGTGGATGTAACAGTGTTAGCGAGGTGGTGTTGGGATCTGGAGGAAAGGTTGTGCTTGTCTTTCATGGTCCACAGTGAATCGAAAGAAAAAAGGAGTACAGTGAGAGAGAGGAAGAGAAAAAGATGGAAAGAGAGAGGGGGAGATATGTTTGTGGTTGGTAACCCGCTCAAGAGAGGAAATACCAGTGTGTGCATACACACACCCACACACAAACACACACTCAACACGCACACACAGGTGCAAAAACATAGAGAGCAGAGGCATGTCCAAGAGAATAAAGACCTGCTTTGTACGGGCTACAGGTTTGGTGTTTGTGTAAGCGCATGTGTGCACGGCTATGTCTGTGTGTGTGTGTGTGTCCTTAGTTGAAGGCTGCTGAGGAAGCAGGGTGAGGATTCAGTCAAGGGGAGGAGGAGGAGGTAAAGCAGGACAGGAGTGAAGGGCCTTAAGTGTTCTTCAGTCACCTAAGGCTCCATCATTATAATTAGAGGGAATAATTTTAGCAGCAGGGAGGAAACCCTGATTTTTTTCTCCCATGGGTTTCCTTTACTAGAAACTCAGCTGGTGTCGGATAGCCCAGAACTCACTATGACCCTCAGTGACGGGCGGAAACAACATACACACACATGCAAACACACACAAAAAGAGAGAGTGAGAGTAGGCAACCAGTGCACAAGTAGGAGAAATGGTTTTCTCTTAATCTCATCATCAGTTGAAGCAAATTCAGTGATTGAAAAGTGTAAATCAATGAATTTCTATCATTAGATGACAATGCTCAGTGAACCTTCCTGTGTAGTAATGAATAAGTGACTAATACAGAAACCACTGGATGAAAAAAACATCTTTTTGTTTGTTGAGTGTGTATGTGTGTGTCTGTTATGTGCTATGGGTCGCGTCCTTCTGTGAGCAATCAGAAAAGAGCTATGTGGACTTTGGGGGAAATGAGAAATAAAAATGTAGAATTCCATCCAAGAAGTTCTGGGAAGCTTGGAAATTCCATTTTAAACAGTATGTGTGTGTGTAGAGAAGGGTGTTTGTGTGTGTAGGGGAAGACTGACGCACAGGAGGCAAGATAAATTGTGCTAATGGAGGCGTTTCATGCCGACGTGTCAAACCCACACAAACACTAGTTTATGAATCTGTGAAAAAATTAAACAAAACAGTTTCTCTCCTGTAACTGTGGCATACTCCTTGAGCATCTGACTCTTATATGGAACATGTTTTTGCATGCCCCCACAACATGACAAAATGGCTTCACTCACCAAGGCAGTGTTTAAACAGCGTCTCCCAATTTGTTCTCAGCCAATAATTTGAAATAACATATAACTGAAAACTTAATGTTTATGAATTATTGCGGTGAACTTTGTCCCAGTGGAATTTGTTGGCACATTATGACCAGGGGATAATTAAAGCACCAATGAGCCAAGCTGTCAGAGCTTTTCACTGTTTGCACATGCACGGTTGACAATTACCAGAGTCCAGCCGACTGCACGTTGTCACATCTGGACAATATGCAGCAGCCTGGTGTGTGTATGCTTTTTTAGACAATGTCCTGTCCTTACTATGAGCTGAACAAGTGGGAATTGTTACAAAGCAAGTCTGACAAGCACACAGACACAGGAAGAATTGTAAACAAAATGTCAAATGCATGCATGGCATACCCCAGACAGACAAGAAAACACACACCTGTTGCTGTTGCAGGTGCAGTAAGTCCACTGGACTGATCTCTCCATTGGCGTCTCCGTTAGACCCGCCCTCCCTACCTCCCCCTCCATCCGATTGGCTGCTGAGGCTGCTGACTCCGTTCTGGTTGGATGGCGTTGTTCGAATGGTCTCAGAGGCTGATTCCACCATCATCACTGGCACCTAAAAGTGGAGAGGCAGGGGGAACGGGGGGTGTGGGGGGGGGCAAGACAGCACAGATTAAAAAGTGACCTGGGCAGTTTGGAGCAGAAAGCCTGCTCCCATCTGAGTGAACAAACAAGGCAGGACAAGGCAGAACAGATTAAAAAGTGACCTGGGCAGTTTGGAGCAGAAAGCCTGCTCCCATCTGAGTGAACAAACAAGGCAGGACACTACAGCAAACACATGCTGACATAGACAAGTGAACTATGTGTGCTTGTGTGAGTGTGCATGTGTGCTTTGTGAAAAAGGACTTTTGGTCATGAACCGCCCAAACACAAACATGCTCTCCCAAGTGGCCTCAAAGCAACACCTAAAGCAGATGCTTTTTTTTTGTCTGCGTCTAGGAGCGTATGCATGGCTTAGGATCAGATGTGCAGCAAATGTTAACTGACAAGGCTCTTAATACTCTGCTGTATAGTTAAATAACGCACACATTTTTGCAATAATCAGAGGTGGCATGTGTGCGCTGTGTAGGTTGGTCTTTGAGAAAGCTCTGTTTGATGCACCTTCACAGGGCCTCTCTAATTAGAGCCTGTTCCTTCCACAAAACCTGACAAAATGAGCCGTTCCTGGATGTGTTGTTGTTTTTGAGAAACAATGCCTCGGAAACACACAGACACATTTGCCATCGTTAGGAGCCCGAGCGTGGGAGAGAGGAGACACGGAGACACACGTACACTTTCAGAACACATACAAGGCAGCTAATACAAAACAAAACAAACCTTCATACAAACACGCAGGCTGTGAACTCCTGATGACAAGCTCAATCTCGTCTGTCTGCCTCAGCCAGTTTTAGAAATTAACACACACAAGCACATAGTTTTACAGGGGAAAGTTCTGCTGCTTTCATTTCAGCGACCCAGAGTGGGGGTACACAAAACGCTATCGAGGCATCCTATTGCTGTCTATGTGTGATGGTGTGTGTGTGTGTATGCCTGTGTTTTTCAGAGGCGTACAACCCATGCCTTCTGGGGAAACAATGAAAAGGTGTTTCATGAGAGAATCCTACTTTCTTTTCCTCTGAGGCAAGAGCAGGTGAACCTGTGTGTGTGTGAGACACAGAGAGAGTTTGACTCTGGTGGCATTGTCAGTGACATTCTAGCAGACACTTGCAGATGGACAGGGACCCATCAGAGGTCTATGTGTGTGAAAAGAAATCAGCAAGGTCTGTGGATTATACTGAGAAGTTTGGCTGAAGAATTTCTAGAATGTCAGTTTTCAATGCTTTGAGCTACACAGACAAAATTCCTTTCACTGTCATTATTTGTGGAATAATATGAGAGTGTCAGAGGTGAATTTCTCAAGGCCTGGGCACAGAAAACAAAACATCTGTATAGTTTATGCCACAGACTAAATGAGATTTTTTTCCCCAATTTTTTCAGAGTGAGGCACGTTTACCAATGTTTACAAAAATGTGGTACTGAGTGGGCCTTGTGGTAATAATGTTTTTGCCAACGGCTGTTTCTAAGGTTAAAAATAAACTTTAATATCAACTTTTGAGCCAATATTGTCAAGAAGTCTTTAAAGTACATTTCTGTGCCAACTGCATCTGCTTAAGATCTTGTGACATGCTGAAAAGCCCCGGCCACCAGCCACTGAGTGGACCTGGTGGTGAGAGTGGATGAACTAAACGGATAAACGTCACCAGTTGACGGTGTCTCCCTGACAAGCAGCACCACTGGAAACCCACAAATCACACTACAGTATTTTTCCTCCCCATTGACTCCCTTCACACATCCGCTTGTGAACTTAAGGCTAAAAAGTTGAGCTTTATTGTGACATTTAAATCTAGCCACTTAATCTCCAACCTCGCTCCTCTTCTTCACACTCTCTCCCTTTTTCAATCGCCCTCTTTCCATTAGCTCTGCCTTTGTCCAGACAAACTGCTCCCTGAGGTAATATTATGAAGTAAGGCAGAGCGCTGAGTGATCAACAGATCCCGCCTCACAGTCCACTTACTTTGCGCTGCAGTAGAAACTCCTCACATCATCACACGTCTCACTAAGCATGAATCACCGGCCTGCTATGGAGCCCGCACTATACTGCGTCATGCAGTAATGTACTGTACACCCATCTGCTTCTGACTCTTCCTCACTGACCTTATTAGCAGTGAAGAGAAGAGAGATAAAGACAGACAGAGAGGTAGAGCTCGCAGGTGGACAAGGACCTAATGGGAAAGTGGGGAGTGTGTAAAGAAGGAGCACTTGCCCTCTCTTTCACACACAGGCGAGTGTGGTACACTCCTCTAAAGGGTGTGTACTCTGTCATATCCTGTAATGGGTGTATATAAGCTGGTGTAATGGAGGTCGGGAAAAAGGCAGGGGCATAAATCTAGCCTGAGGTCTTTGATTAGGGATATGATACACACACATTGCTTTAAGTTTAAGTGTTTCTGGCAGTGATGAGGAGCTGCCCGTGCAGAGGCCTGCCTCAACCTGCTCCTAACTCTTTCTGCGCGCGTCTTTCTCCCTCTCTCAATTTCTCTACATGTTCAGACCCCTTTTAGCTGAACCCCTGACCTGAGAGTATGTGGGGAGAGACGTTCCACCCCCCCTACCCTGAGGGGACCGGGTGAGGAAAGGGAGGAGCACAGATCAGAGAGATAAAGAACGTGTGTGGAGGATAGGGAAATAAATGGCCTCCTTTGCCTTTTAATTGGGGTGGAGAACAGAAAGAAGAAAATGGGACTCAACATGTTTCTGATGACTCTGGTGTATACTGTATGTGTGCGTGTGTTTGTCTAAGAGGTTGACACATACCTTTTGTACTGTATTGGATTAGCTCACAGCAAACTCTGGGTGCCTGTGTTTATGTGTGCGTCTGGTGTGATTGATGAGTGGAGAGGAGTCGCAATGAGTCCAGTTAGGACACGTATAGCTTGTGCAGATGTTGCCGAAAAATTTAGCACTAATAATAATCAGAACTCTCCCTCTGCTGCTTCCCACTGCTCTGGGTGTGTGGAGTTCAAAGCTTAGCCAAATCTCAGGCTTTGTCAGAGAGGATTGGCTCTGTCAGATTCCTCCTGGTCACTGCTTGTTAGAACGGTAAAGTCGGACCAGCTTCACTTTCTGTGAACGCGTGTGCGAGCGAGGGCGGGGGTGAGTTGTGTACAGTGTGTATTTATGTGTGCATCTGTGTTTACAGCAGCTTAGTGAGATAATAAGTCTTTATCATGTTATGTCTCATGTGGGAATATTTTCAGCAGTCCCTGAACGCCTGCTCTGTTTCCTCCGCCTTGCATCAGCTCGCAGGAACGCTGCTTATTAGGCAAAGAACTGAGGGAATAAGGGTGGGATGGAGAGTGGGGGGAGAAGGGAGAGGGAGGGGGTAAAGGAAAAAAAATGTATCTACACTCCACCATCTATCTACTTTCATCTGACTCTTGAATTATCTGTCTTTCTTCTACTCTATGCATGCAGTCATTCTCCCCCTGGTTATGCCTGGTAACTAGTGGCAGGTTCAGCCCTGGAAAACATTAAAGTTTTCACCCTAAAATAGAATCCACATAGGTTATTTCTATAATCTTTGATAGTTCAATCAATATTTGTGAGCAGGAGACACACTCATCCTGAGACAGATATCTGAGGAACTGGAGCTCTAACCTGTTTTGTAATCAGGAAACAGAACTTATGGGAGCTTCTGTTGAGAATGAACGGATGTGTGGATTCATAAAATAGTTAGTTTAGCTGTTACATGCAAATGACCTTTATTTCATTATAATTGACAGTCATGAACTAAAGCATACACACACACACACACAAAAACAATTAGCCTGGTTACTGTCACTGTGTCCATAAAATGTCCCATTTACTGTCAGAGCGGATCCAGAAAAAACGGTCTGGGATCTTTTATTTGTATGCTTTGACAGGGACTTGAACACCCGCATACAAAGAGAGATCATAATTTGGTAAACACTTCCACACCCATATTTTCACACTCTCACACACTCAAACTGGCAGAAACTATTCCAATAAATAAACCTTGACACTGGCCCTGAGGGAATATGCTTTAACCCCAAACCCAGACCAAACCCAACTATCAGGTCTTTTTTTAGGTTTACATGTCACATGAAAGTCTGGTGTCAAGCAGTTAGTGTGTTGTGTTACAGATTAATAAAGAAATGAGTAAGCACTGGCTGTATTTTTTTTGTGCTCCAGTACCGCAGCAAGCATTTGGAGAAACAATGCGCTCATATATAATGGAAGTTTTCAGATAAAGTTTCCGCCACAGCCCTGCACCTTCTACATACCCTGCTACAAAAGCACCTTCCTCTTTACTTTTCCATGCAAACAAATATTTAACTATTTAACTACTGAGGCTACCTTGTGTGTATCAAACATGTTGATTCTAGTGTCACCCTAAAAGCAATAAAATAAATTAATGCCAGAAAGAAAGTTCACACGTTTTATGTAAACCCTTACTTCCCCACCACTGCAATTCAGCTGTTGCAAAAGTTTTTTATCTCTCACATTTCATTTTACTCCTTGAGACCCATATTTTTATTATCTCTTCCTCTAAGATGTCAGATTGTGAAATTCTGTCAGTGAATTTCTGAGATGCATTTAATTTGTTTCAGTGTTTTCAAATGGCATGATTTAGGTTTAAAACACATAGAAAGCATAAGAGCCATAGCCCAACTTGGTATTTCTACATGTTTCAGATGTTTTCTGCTCCGATTCGCTGAATGACATAAGAGAGAAAGAGAGGAAGAGGGATAGGAGGGATATCTGCATGGTATTTCTAAGCTGGTATGTATTAGCTAAACACACATTCTCATACAAGTGAGCATACACACACACACACACACACACACACATATTTCCTGTCCAGGTTTAGTTGTTTGCTCAGCAACTGATCATTGCTACATCATGCTAGCCAGACTTGCAGGAGGATACCAGAGCAGAGCAGCCAGCTAGTCTTCCACATGGAGCTAAAGCTAGTAGCTAATAGCACTGCTCCAG